TTTTGTTCATATCAATAGTAAGAAATGGGCTGAAATATTGTACTAACGCCTTCTTCCTAATCTCGTCATAAAGTGTCTCAACATGATAATGCAAATGAATATCAAGCAAATAATCATTCTGTAAAAAGAGTTGTTATATATATATATAACAAGAAAGACGGATATATAAATAAATTAATATATATATATATATATATATATATATATATATATATGTATGTATGTATATATTCGTAGTATTTTTTTCTAGAATCATCATCATCAACAACAACAACAACAACAACAACAACAACAACAACAACAACAACAACAACAACATCATCATCATCACAATAACGGTATAAATAACAGCACCGGTAACAATAATAGTGTTTCTGTTACAAATGTACCTATTGCTCCTCATCAATCTCAAACATATCATCATCAATATTATAATCCTGATCGTCATCACGGTGAAGCCACTCCAACTTATTTAGCACCTCCAACGACCCATCACACTCATCATCAACAACAAATTGTTTATCCTGCCACTAATCAAGTTACTCTTCACCATTCTGAAAATAATTCGAATGTTTCAACCAGATCTCCTTCACCGGTCCCTCCTCCATCACATTCAATTAATTATCAAAATTCTAACATTAAAGCTAACAATATGATCACGAATGCAAATACAAATAATGATAATGCTAGTTCTACAACTGCTACAATGGTTGCTAACGAATCAGTTATGACAAATCAATCAACGACCCCTGTAAATAACAATAACAATAATTTAGAAAAACCCAATAACATTAATATTAGTAATAGTGACACTCCTTTTAATAATAATAAAGAAAGTAGTAATAATTCTACTACTAATAACCCCCCTGGTAAAAAACGTAGTGGCAGAGCACAAAGACCCAGAGCAATAGTTCCTGCGCCAACTTCTTCTAACCCGACTGCATCTAATAATGCAAATAATCAAACCGCTACTAATGTTCCAATCACTAATGTTACTACTTTACCATCATCCCAAGAACAA